GCGATCGTCGACGCTATCATCTACGTCGAACAGCCGCACGCATTCGAGGAAGACGGCGACACCATCTGCCTTCTCCAGAAGTCACTCTACGGCATCAAGCAGGCGCCGCGCCTGTGGCAACAGTACCTTCACGCCATCCTTATCGAGCTCGGCTTCCAACAGCTTCCCCATGACCAAGGAATGTACCGCCTCAAATCCCGCGGCCACTTCATCCTACTCGTCGCCTACGTGGACGACCTTCTCTACACCGGGGACGACTCCGAGCTGCTCGATCGCTTCGAGCGCGAGATTCAGGAGAAGCTGGAGGTAACCATCGACCACGACGTCACCCAATTCCTCGGCCTCAACGTCACACAGAGCGCCGATTCTATTCACCTCTTTGCTGCGAAGTACGCCAAGAGCCTCACCAAGAAATTCGGCATCCCTCCCATCGGCATCACCACCCCATTTCGCACTCCTCCTCCCAACCACAAGCCGGACACCACCCCGCTCTCCCCAGCAGACCACCGCCTCTACCAGCAACAGCTCGGTTGCCTCCTGTTCGCCGCCGTCACATGCCGCCCGGATCTCTCCTACATTGCCAGCCAGCTCGCCCAGTACCTGCGCCGACCTGAAGGGGAGAACATGGCAGACCTACATCGAGCCCTACAGTACTTCATCTCCACGCCCGACGTCGGCCTCACCTACAAGGCAAATCTAACAGCCAACCTACAGCTTACCGGCTACGTCGACGCAGATCACGCGGGGGACGCAGAAAACAGAAGGTCCCGCACAGGCTTCATTTTCAAGCTTGAGCCTGCAGGAACCATCTCCTGGAACTCGCAGAAACAGGAGCTCATCGCCCTCTCGTCAGCAGAAGCAGAGTTCATCGCAGCAAGCGCAGCAGTTCGCGAAGGACTCTACCTCACGGAACTCCTACAGGAAACGAAAACGGCGATGAACGGGTCCTTCAAGTTACTCTGCGACAACCAGAGTGCGATCAAAATCGCACACAAGCCCGGCTTCGTCAACCGCACCAAGCACATCGCCCTGCGATATTTCTTCGTCAAGGACGAAATCGACAAGGGCAAGGTCCAGCTCACCTACTGCCCAACCGACAAGATGGCAGCAGATTTTCTGACTAAGAAGCTGCCACGTCAGAAGTTTCAGTACTGCTCAGACCTGTGCGGAGTCGCTCGCAAAAGGCCACATGGCACACCTCCAGGAATGAAGGGGAGTGTTGGAGTATGAAGGGAATACACTTAAGCATTCCCGAAGGTGCAGCTACATCGCACCAGTCACTATCGAAGCAGCGCGAGCAGTAAAAGTCGGATCAGCCTATACCAAAGGCAGGAAGGTCAACAGGCGCAAAAGTCAACTGTCGCGACTGTTGACCATCTGGACCGACGATTGACTCACCATCGAGGAATGTCAACAGGCGTAACCGCACGCACGGTTACAAGCAGCGACTCGGTAACAAGAAAGGAAATGCAACAGTCAAAGTCACTGCTGTACTGCCTGTAAAACAGTTACAATAAGGGAATGTACCCCTTAGAGTACATGGCTAGTTACCGTCATACCCCGGATATAAGCGCCACCCGCGGATAAGCGCCTGGCGCTTTTAATCGGCGCCCGGCGCTTATATCCGGTGCTCGATTATAAGCGCACCCCCCTGAAAAAACTTGTTTTATTATAAGCGCACGTAAACTTTAAATTTTGAATTGTGTTCGAAACACTGTAACGATTTCTACTTCAGCAGGGGGATGTGTTGCAGATTCGCTTCCCTTCACATTCGGACCCTGCACTGGATGCGGGACCAGTCAGCAGGAGCAGTCAGGAGCTGTCAGAAGCTGTCAGAAGCTGTCAGGAGCTGTCAGAGTAGGTGTATCTCCAGCGCGCGCGAGAAATTTCACAGAACTTCGACTCGATTGAAAAAGGCTAGCACGAGATCTACAGCTTGGTGTTAAAACATATATAAAATATATATGTCGTTTTATAAACGCCGGCGCTTATAAATTTACCCGATTATAAGCCCACCCCCCCTAAAAAAACATGTTTTATTATTGCCCCCCATGGGGGTATATCCGGGGTATGACGGTAGGACTATTTATTTGCTTGTATTCTATCCTTTCAACAACTTTGTCATCTACATTCACTATGATCAAGGTTCCTACCAAGACTTCCGCTACCAACTCTCCTAGAGGCACTTCCTATCCTATCCAAGATCCTCACTCTAACAACACTTGCAGCTTGAGTCACCCTGTTTGTGTAGGCGAAATCGAGTGGTTGGTTTGAAGGTTCAGTGTGCGACAGATTTCTGTTTTGCCCGTGAATCTCAATTGCAAAACAAATTGCTGTACATAAGATTTGTCAGCAGCTGAGGGCGTGTTCCTACGGCCCCTTATCAGGCCAACCTCTTATCATACTTGCCTGGTAAAATGCGCAAAGGGTTTAGGGTTAGCGCGATTTCAGTGTGATTTTTTCCGAGCTTGATAGGAGATGGCCTGATAGTGTCGTGATAGTAGGTATACTGAGGAGCCATAGCTAGGGTTTACCTAGCTAGGCAAGAGAGAAATGAGCAAAGGAGGGTTTGCACTAGCAACAATGGTGGTACAAATAGCTAACCCTAGAAGGGTTGTACTCGCTATAGAGCACCCCACTGCAGGCTAGAGCATAATATTCTGACACACCCCCATAGTCAAAGTGGGGTGTAATCAGCAGAGCAAGCAAAGCAGTACAAGCTCAGGGTGGATCACGATGTCACCACACATTCTGAGCACAAGCAAGAAGCAATAGTTTAAGGTTCAAATTATGAGCAAAGCTAGAGGCAGTCACAGGGGGCAAGTGAGGAGGAGGAGGGCTGGCGAGAGGAGAGTAGATAGGAGGCGACGACTGAAGATGCAGACACACGGGCAACAGACGGCTCTGGTGCGACAACGTGGCTACCGGGAATGAGTGCCCCGGAGTACAGGAGTAACAGGCTCCGCGGCTAATATGCTCGGCAGGAGCAACGGACCCACAGGCGACGGCGCAACCGGCTCTCTGAGCTACCGGGAATGAGTGCCCCGGAGTACAGGCGCTGCGTACGACACGACGGCAACCTCCGCTCAACCTCCCCCAACAGTCCCACACCCCTCGACACACACCCTCTGCTTCAAACCCTAGCTAGCTCCACTCCCACGGTACCCCCCTTAAACCCCAAACCCTAGGCTCCCACACACCACCCCCCTCAGCGGCAGCTGTAGCAGAGGGAGACTAGGGAGGAGGAGGAGCAGGGGGAGGAACTCACAACCGACACCCCCATAGTCGCCACCCCCACACTCCTCACCCCCAAACCCTAAAACGGGCGGAACGGGGGAAGGAGCGCGGGGGACGGCGAGGGGGACGGCGCGCGGCCCCCAGGACGCCACCACGGGGCAGCGAGGGGCCGCGCGCGGCTCCTTAGGGCGCCGCGCGGGGGCAGCGGGGGGTCGCGCGCGGCTCCCCAGGGCGGCGCGACGGGAAATCGGGGGCCGCGCGCGGCTCCCGAGGGCGTCGCGGCCGTCGACGGGGCAGCGGGGGGTCGCGCGCGGCTCCCCAGGGCGGCGCGACGGCGAATCGGGGCAGCGGGGGGCCGAGTGCGGCTCCCCAGGGCGGCGCGACGGCGAATCGGGGCAGCGGGGGGCCGAGTGCGGCTCCCCAGGGCGGCGCGACGGGAAATCGGGGCCGCGGGGGGTCGCGCGCGGCTCCTTAGGACGTCGCAACGAAAGGGGCGGGGGCGCGCGGGGTCCCCCACGGTAGGAAACCGCCGTGCGCCTCGGGGCGCACGGCGGGGAGAAAACCGCCGCACGCCCCGAGCGCGCGGCGGGATGAAAAATCCGTCGCACGCCACGGGGCGTGCGACACAGACAGTAGTAGGAGCAGCGGAAGACTGAGGTGGTGGGGCCCACCCACAGGATCGACCCAACAGGATCGTCCTGCTCTGATAGCATGTCGAGATAGTAGGTATACTGAGGAGCCATAGCTAGGGTTTACCTAGCTAGGCAAGAGAGAAATGAGCAAAGGAGGGTTTGCACTAGCAACAATGGTGGTACAAATAGCTAACCCTAGAAGGGTTGTACTCGCTATAGAGCACCCCACTGCAGGCTAGAGCATAATATTCTGACAGATAGGGGGCCGTAGGAACACGCCCTGAGACACATTGCTGGGAAATGAGCTTCGGAACCCAACCAAATTTTCATGCCTAGGTGGTTCGGAAGCAGCCTGCGATTTTTTTTTCTTCGCATCCCTCGTTTCAGCTCTCGTCAACTACTCTACCTCCTCGTCAACCAATCACAGCCTAGCGCAATTCACTAACTGCAAAACAGCCAAACTACTTGAGATCCTGGCTTTAAAGAAACTATAGATGCAAGAATTCAATATGTGGGGTGACAGCCATCGATTGGCACTGTGGTACCATTATGTTTTTTTCTAATTATTTAAGTGGTATGTTCGTGTTCTTGGATTTCGTAGGAGTAACAGTTGCAGTAACTGGTCATTTTCTGGTTTAGCAGCCACGTCTCGCTGTCCAATGAGGTTTAAATGTTCGACAAATGAACCAATCACTGATCTTCTTCAGATGTGTCGTGCTTCGCGCGCGTATGTCTGGTCTGCTTCGATCGAACCGTCGATTCTTCAGAAAGATGCTTTAGCTAAGGCGATCGAAGGGTAAAGAACCCATCAATGAGGCCTAATTTCTGGAAGAATTCGTTCGGCTGGTAGATTACATCTCACACACACATCTCGCGAGATTTTCCAGAATTCGACCCCTGCTGAAAACTGTACTGTACAGCTGAATCCCGATCATTTCTAGGCTTCTCTGGTGGGATAGCCAAGCTCCATTTTCTGCCACCACGCAGGATATCCTCAGCTTGAGCTGCGGACAGCCAAACAGAGCGCTGGACCATAGATCGTTGTAGTTTTGTAGCCTGAGAGCAGTCATTCAGATTCTTCTTTTCCGTGACTAGCGGTCTCTTCTAGATCTGGACCAGGGATCGTATATCATGGCACGGACGACGGTTCTTGCGCTCCTGGCGCTCGTTTTCATCACCACCCAGTCATGCCTTGCCGTAAGTTGAAAACAATTCTTGTCTAGCTAGTGTTTTGGCGGGTAGATCGTGCAGTCAAAATTTCTCTGCCGCATCTACTGCCATTCGTCTTTTGATGCCGGATGTTCCTACGCCTCTCTCTCCCATGTCGATCCATGCAGGTGGAATTCTTCGAGTCGTTCGACGAGGATTACGCCGGTCGCTGGGTCGTCTCTAGCACCGCGGACTACACGGGTAAGACTTAATGACTCTGCATAACATTTTTGCAGATGTAATTATAGAATACCTATAGATGAGCATCCATGCGGAGTTCTTTGCCCACTGAATACTCATCTGACAATGCTCCAAACGTGTACTCGTGTTCCACTTTCCCGCATGCTCAGGCAAATGGAAGTGGGCTCCTGGCGAAGCGTCGGGCGATTACGGCCTGCTGGTAACCGAGAAGGCGAAGAAGTACGGCATCGCAGTGGAGCTTCCGGAGCTGGTGGATCCGAAGCAGGACACCCTGGTGCTGCAGTACGACGTTCGCCTGCAGAACAAACTCGAGTGTGGCGGAGCCTATCTCAAGTTCCTCATGCCACAGGTGCTGAAGCTGTGGGCTTATTTTGAGAACAATTTTGAAACGCTTGACTAGTTCTTTTGCCTGATTGCGAAAACGACCTGTGCTGACACCGTTTATTTTCCTCCTACCCTACTTATCTGGTCCATCCTGAGACCTTGCTCCTCCTTGCTTGTGGTTTTCAATCTATCCTCCCCCTGGGACCAATCAGACCGCGGGCTGGACTCCCAGTCAATTCAAGGACGACTCGCCCTACTCGATCATGTTCGGACCCGATAAGTGCGGCTCGACGAATAAAGTGCACTTTATTTTCCGCCACAAGTCACCCAAGACGGGCGAGTACGTGGAGCATCACATGAAGAAGCCCGCGTCGCCTCTCACATTCGACAAGCTCTCGCACGTGTACACGGCGATCGTGTATCCGAACAACTCGGTGGAGATTCTGATCGACGGCGAGAAGAAGGCGGAGGGCGATTTGCTCTCCGGGAAGGATTTTCAGCCGCCCGTGCTGCCGCCGAAGACGATCCCGGACCCCGAGGATAAGAAGCCCGATGACTGGTGAGTTCAGGGTGATGACTGGTTGGTTGAGAGCGTACGTTCAGCGAATTGAGCGTACCTACGGTTTGAGTCTGTTCTCAGCCAACCGTTCCGTGTCGGTTGGATACGCGTCGCACGCACGCGAAATGTTTGTGGATTCGTAAGCTTTTCAGATAAACAAGTGGATCTCCATTCGCAACTGAACTGAACGACGCGGGCGCGCGATTTTTGCGACGCGTGGTGGTGTGCGTGCAGGGACGAGCGAGCCAAGATTAAGGACCCCGAGGCGACCAAGCCGGACGACTGGGACGAGGACGCTCCGCGGGAGATCCCCGACGAGGATGCTACCAAGCCCGAGGGGTGGCTGGACGACGAACCCGAGGAGGTGCGTTGGGGGATGGTCGGGTAATCTGGTTGGCTTGTGGAAGAATGCTGGATTCTAAGAGCCGTGCGGCAAGTCCGAGGGATGGCTGGGCGGCTAGCCCGCGGGGGTGGGTTGGAGGATGAGTCGCAAGAGGGGGTCGGTTGAAATTGTTCTGAACCGGATTGTGGAGGTCAAGGGGTGGCTGTATGATGAACCAAGGAAGTTAGTGGCTGATTAAATGTCAAGAGTGAAACGGGTCTACAATAATGAGAGCATCGCTCATATCCGAGGAGTGGGCTGGGTGGATGCCTTAGTCCGAAGGGGAAGTTGCAATGCCCAGTCTCCTCGTTCCTTCCCCCCACCCCCCCTTTCCCGCACCTCCTGTGGGGTTTTCCGTCACTGTTGTATTCTTGGATCAGTTGTCGAGGCCCAATCCTTCCGCCCCTTCGCACCAATTCCGATGGAATCCTCGTCCCCAAAAAACTGGTGGACGATGCTGAATCCCATCGTTTTTCCCACCGTTTCCCGTACTAATCTCCGTTCCCGCAGAACAGGTGGACGATCCCGAGGCGAAGAAGCCGGAGGACTGGGACGGGGGTGAGGACGGCGAGTGGGAACCGCCTAAACCACCCAACCCCAAATGCGCAGACGCCCAATGGTGCGATTGACCCACTGATTTCCCGTGCAACCCGTCTCCTTTCCCGGATGACAGGTGGACGATCCCGAGGCGAAGAAGCCAGAGGACTGGGACGAGGAGGAGGACGGAGAGTGGGAGCCGCCCAAAACCCCGAACCCCAAGTGCGAGGAGGCGCCCGGGTGCGGCGAGTGGAAGCGGCCGATGAAGCGCAACCCCGCGTACAAGGGCAAGTGGACGGCGCCGCTCATCGACAACCCCGCGTACAAGGGCGTGTGGAAGGCTCGGGACATCCCGAACCCGGACTACTTCCACCTGGACCGGCCAAACCTGGAGAGCGTCGCTGCTGTGGGAATTGAGATCTGGACCATGTCGGTGCGTGCCTGGGCGCGGGGATGTGTGGGGGGGGGGGATGGAGATAAGTGTGTGAGAGGGGCTCAGGGTTCGGGGTTTCTGGGTAGGATAAGAGGTGGTTGGTGGACGAGTAGCTGGGAGCGGAGCATGAGAAACAGGGCGTAGTGTAGAAAGGGCAATGCACACAAGAGCATTGGCTGCAAGCGAAAGAACATGAAAGAACGAGGTCATGTCATTTGCATTGCACAAGCCGAGAGTGTTGCTTGGAAGGGTGCAAACATAGCAGTTGTCTATCTGGAGAATCCTCCCCCCATCTCTTTTCCTTCCCTGTCCACTACAGGTGATCGCTTCTAGTTTGACAAGAGACGCGTTTGCATGTGGGTCCAACTCATTCCCCAACCCGCCCATCCAACCATCCACATCCACCTAACCACCCACCCACCCACCCATCCACTGAGGACGGCCGAAGGGCTGCAGCGCACGGTGGAGGAGCGGGATAGGATTGTCGAGGGGCTGCAACCCCTCGAGCCTCTCGACTGTCCTGTCCCGCTCCTGCGCCGTGCGCTGCAGCCCCTCGACCGTCCTCTCCCGCCTTCCACTCAGCCTCCCGCCCATCCACCCATTTAATCATCCCCCTCATCTGCCCACCCACCTGCCCATCCACCCATCCACGTTCACGCAACCCCACCCATGCCAACGCATCCCTCCCCCCACCCCTCCCCCCATCCCTCCCCCCATCCAACCCCTCCAGGACGGCATTCTCTTTGACAACATCCTCGTTACAAGTGACCCCGCTGTAGCGGAGAAGTACCGGCGGGAGCGTTGGGCGCCCAAGTACGCCAAGGAGAAGGAGGCGGAGCAGAAGAAGCGCGAGGAGGAGGACGCGAAGCTGAAAAAGGACTCTGCTGCTGGCAAGGGCGGTTGGGAGGTGAGTGGGTGGTGTGAGGCTGGTGGGTGTGTGGTAGATGTGTCATGGGGGGATAGTGTGGTATGCAGCAGAAGAAGCGCAGAGGAGGACGCGAAGCTCAAGAAGGACTCCGCTGGCAAGGGCGGGTGGGAGGTGAGCTGGAGGGGCCCGGGTGAAGTGGGCTGCAGGGTAGATGTGAAAATGGAGGGTTAGTGTGGTAGGAGCAGGCGGATCAGGCGAAGAGAAGGACGCAAAGCTAAATAAAGGACTCCGCTGGGTAGGGTGGGTGGGAATTGAATGGGGGAGGTGTGAGACCAAGTAAGGGGTGAGAAAGCAACGGCAGGGCAGCCTGTTTGAGATTTTCAAAAGCCTTTGTCTTAAGGCGGCTCGAAAATATCCCCCTCACTCGTACTGTAACCCCCTCACCCCCACTGCAACTCCCTAACCCCTTCAACCTCACTGCGAACCCCTCTGTCGTCTCCCCACATCAGGGCAAGCTGTTTGAAACGTTCCACAAGATCGCAGACGCGCCCCCTCTCAAGCCTTGTCTCTCGCCCTCTCCCTCTTCTCACCCCACTGCATCCCTCTCAACCCCACTGCACCCCCCTCTGTCGTCCCCACAACAGGGCAAGCTTTTTGAGACTCTCCACAAGATTGCAGACGCGCCCCCTCTCAAGCCCGTTCGCCCCCAAATCAAGGTGCGTTGCCCACCACCACCCCCAAACCCCCCACCACCCTGCTCCATCACCTCCTCTTTCAACCCTCCTACCCCCGTCCACCCCTTACCCCTTCACCCTCCCTTGTCTCCCATCCCTCCTCCCTCCCTCTCTCCTCCCCTTCACACTTGCGGTCACATGTCTCTTCCATCTCTGTCACTTAGCACTCCCTCCTGTGATCGTATCCCAAGTTCCCGTATGGTGCCGTGGCTGTTCACAGCCCTCGATACACTTGAACACAACTTTTTAACTTCCACAGTCCCCACCTCTTCTCCTCACTTCCCCAGGCCATCCTAGCAGAGGCGGCCAAGTACCCATACGCAGCAGTGGGCATCATCATTCTCATCCCCCTCGTGCCCTTCCTGCTGCTCGTCTCTGTGCTGCTCTCCTCGCCCAAGCGGCCGGCTGGCCAGGTATTCTCATAAATTTGGGACTTGGGGGGAGGTTTGAAATTTGGGGTTGTGGGGGTATGGGGGTATGGGAGGGGAATGAGGTCAGACTGAGGGGTTGGGGGGTTGTATGTGAGATGATGATTTAGTCGACTCAAAAGGGTATCATAGAGAATCCTTCAACAGACTGAGATTCAAAAGACTGAGAGGTTGGGATTGTCTGTGAGAAAATACCGAAAAGGAGTCGATCCAGCAGGGAGCCGGCAGTCCAGGTGAGTTCATGACTTGGGAATGTAGGAGATGGTAAGGTGGGAACTAGGGGTTGGTTGGGGGTATGGGAGGAAGCAAGGTCGGACTGAAGAGTTGGTGTTGTACCGTATGTTTCTGCTTTCGAGACTTCACCCTTGTCCGTCTCTCCTCTGTCCCCTGCTGTGCTTGTTTCCGAGCAGGTGTCGCTGGAGAGGGCCAAGAAGGAGGACATTACCTCACCTGACGATGCTCCAGAGGAGAGCGCGGAGGAGCCGAAGGAGGAGGCTAAGGAAAAGGGCGAAGCTGATGCAGCAGATGAGCTGAACGAGGGCACCACCGAGCCTGCTAAAGCAGAGGAGCCCGCCGAACCTGCAGCAGCTTCGGAAGCCCAGCCTGCAGCCGTGGAGGAGGTGAAGGAGGGGGGTGAGACCAAGGTGAGGCGGCGTACGCGCAGGGATTGAAGCAGCGGAGGGAATGAAGCAGGGACTGATGCGGCTGATGCGTATGGTATTGGATTAAGTGGCAGGGGGGTGGCTGGACCTTACCTGCAGTGCTGCAATTTTGGTCCTTGTTGCAGTTTGACATTCTAGTCTAGATTGAACCATGTATTTTTAGGTACCGGTACCGTGCATTAGACCTGTGAAGGTGTTCTTGTAGAGCTGTGTCCTAATGTACTCTGCAAACAGGCTACCAATGTTGCATAATCAATGGAAAACATGCAACCGGGCATTTGGCAGGTGCATCTGAGTGAGTTACGGTACTGCACCAACGATGAGGAATGAACCTCATATTGTGATGTCAGCAGTCTACTATCATGTACTTGAACCTCCAAACACCATCTTAACTACATCTACATATGTGAGCAGACTCGTGGGGCTGTCCTACAGGAACCTTGTTGAGCCGACCAACTTACGTAAATCAAGTGTGTGCGAATCCCTGTTTCAACAAACCCCAGCCCTGCAACGCCTCGGTCCACACGGGAACAGTAATGTCAGGCTGTCATACGGTATCTTATTGGGCCGCACACACGCCCTAAGTTTTTGAGGAACAACCCTTTGGGTGCTTTGTTTTGTCAATAAAAGTCAGTTGATCAGGCCTGTCAGTCCATGGGCACGGCGGGGTCGGGCTGGCCTACGGTATCTTGTTGGGCCGCACATTTGTCCACCAAAACAAAACAAAACCCAGAATGCAAGTTCTTGAGTCGATACGCATGGGTTGATGTGTCTGTCAGTCCATGGGCACGGCAGGGTCCGGCTGGCCTATCTTGTTGGGCCGCACGATGATGACCGGCATGGGGCAATGGTGGGCGCAGTACTCACTCACACTGCCCAGCACCAGCCTGCAAGTTCGGTGGAAGGGGTTGAGGAGAGGAAGAAAAAAGGAGAGGGAGGAAGGTTGACCAGCAGAACAGCTTGCAGCACGGGGCAGTGGTGGGCGCAGTACGTACTCACACTGCCCAGCACCAGCCTGCAAGTGGGGCGGAGGAAATCAAGAGGGGAAAGGGATGGGAGAGGGGGGTTAACAGGTAGGGCAGCATGCAGCCTGGGGCAGAGTAGCGGTGGTCCCAGCCCAGCATGGGCCAGTACTCACTCACTCACACGGTGCGCTTAGCGCTCCCTGTAGCATGTCATGCAGCCACTGAAACGCAGAATCAATAAAAGCCGCACAACCCCATTTAACTCATCTTCTTTAGAGCACCGTGTCCCCCGCTCCCCACCACCACGACATCCGCCTTGGCCTGCTCTGCTGCGCTCTGCTGCCTGTAAAGCACACCTTGGGCATAACTGACCTGCCCCAGTGCTGCTCACCTCTTGAGAGCGCCGTGTCCCCGGCTCCCCACCACCACTGCGTCCGCCTTGGCCTGCTCCGCTGCCTCGGATATCGACAGCCTGGCATCGCCAATCATCACACGTGTCTCACACAGCAGCTGCCACGTCAGCACAGGGCGAGGGACGGGAAGGCTTTTTTTTGTTTTGTTTTTTTTTTAGGAAAGGGAGCAGAAGAGCTGGGAGGACAATCTGAGCCAACGGATTTTCCCCTCACCTGAGAGCGTGTTGCCTTGATGGCTTAACGATTTGATAGCCATCACGGCAACCCGCTCTCTCACAATCTCCTCGCACTGCGCTCTCCTCTCCTCACCTGCCTCGCCTCGCATTGCGCCTTGTACTTTTCCAGCAGCTTGTACCCGGCATCCTTCTTCCTCTGCGTGTCCGCATTGATCTCCCCCTGAGACACGTGGAAGCCTGTCATTGGCGGGGGAAGAAAGGAAGGGGAGGTGGGGGGGGGGGGGGGGAGGGCAGCACGTGGGAGGGGAGAAGACAGCAGATGAGGGAACATCCGGAACACACAGATGTGATGTGACGCCGTGCTAACTTGTTATTGCCCACTGGTGAGCATTGAGTTGAGTTGAGACCACTCAAAAGTCACACATGTGATGCGACGCCGTGCTAACTCACCATTGCATAGGGTTATGTGGTCGGGGGGGAGGTAATGACCCAAAACTGGGCGGCAAGATCTGGCTTACCTCGTCAGGAAGTTCTGGCTGAACTGGTCGGGAGTTTTTGTCTTACCTGGCCGGGAAGTAGGGGCGGCGGAATAGGCCTGAGTGTTAACGAGAATGATGGTGTCACGACCTGCGAGAGGGGAAGGGCGGGAGGGCGGGAGGGCGGGAGGGAGGGAGGGAGGGAGGGAGGGAGGGAGGGAGGGAGGGAGGGAGGGAGGGAGGGAGGGAGGGAGGGAGGGAGGGAGGGAGGGAGGGAGGGAGGGAGGGAGGGAGGGAGGGAGGGAGGGAGGGCGGGAGCAGCAGAGAATGGGAAAATTTGTTGAGCTGCAAGAGAAGGGAGCGCGGAAGTGGAGGAATAGGCCTGAGTGTTACCGAGAATGATGGTGTCGCGACCTGCACAGGGGAGTGGCGGGGCGCAGAGGAGAAAAGATTTGCACCCTCGCCTGAAACTCACCCGCCTGAAACTCACCCGCCTGAAACTCACCCGCCTGACACCCGCCCGTTGCAACCTCGCCTGAACCTCATTCGTCCGACACCCATTCATCGCACATTCACCCCCCCTGGTTGACTTTTGAGTCGACTCAAAAGTCAATTCACCCCTCCTGGCACGCACCCGGCTGCAACTGGATGTTATCGAGCCGCCATTAATGCGCCAAGCAAACACAATGACCGTCGGGTGACAAGAATTGAAACTAACCAGACACATTCACCGTTTGAACCTTACCCAACTGCCTCGCACATATTCTCTCGGCACGCACCGGGCTGCAGCTGCATGTTGTCGAGCGCCCATTGGAGCGCCTCGGTGCTGCCCGTCGAGTCGTCAATCGCAACCACGATGCGCCGCGGCGGCGTTCCCGTCGCCGACATGTCTCTGAAATATACGTGGCCTTCTTTATACCCGCTTAAGGTCTAGCTACGCGGTTTTGTTTATATACCCCTATTGCCGATATTCGTGGTCTTCTGAAGCCTGATAACGGCCAGGTTGGGGAACAATGGCCAGGCACGCACAACAAAAAGTATCGAATAGTCTATTAGATGAGTGAAGCAGTAGTTGAGGGTGAGAGTAACGGCTGTTGACAGTGTATTGAGGTAATCTGAGATAAGGTAAAATCTAGGTTGTTGCTTGTGGGAGAAGCGGGACTGGTGGAAAGGAAAACGGTTGATGGCACGAGGGGACGCACATGCAGACCGTGATTGGCTAATGATCGAAAGTTTTTTCGCGGTGGAGGAAAAATTAGCGCTTACAAGCAAGTATTACGAAAACGAGTGGCCCATACAGGTCTCGAACCTGTGACCTTCGCGTTATTAGCACGACGCTCTAACCAGCTGAGCTAATAGGCCGATGCCAGAGACCTTCGTAAAACGTTTTCGACCTGTTTATCTACGGCTAAATTCGTAAATTCAAATGTGCGACAAGGCAATCGTTGAATTCCCCAGCTTGTGGTGGACTTAGCCCACCCAGACGACCAGCATTGCACCAGACGACCAGACGACCAGCATTTCGAGTCGCGAGTCCACTTTTCGATGCACGTCACTTATCATTTCCTCCTGATTCCCTCCCTTCCGTCTCGCCCGCTTTCCATTGATTCGCCTTACCTTTCCATACTCTCGCCTTCAGTTGGAACGCTTGCCTCCAAGAAGCCTGCTAGGCCACTCTGCTGACTCGCTGTCTAGAACCGCTTAGCGCTTCTACCGAATCAGAGCACTATCCCGATCGACATTAGGAGTGCGTTGCTGATTCACTAAGTGCTTTATTGAAACCGCGTTCCCACGCCCTCGATCGCCGTAAAGCGGCATCCATCCGTCGTTGGAGTCCGAGCGATCCAAATTCAGTCCCGTACTAAGCGTTTCTTTTAAGAAACACAGGCCAAGTTTCCACTAGGAGACACTTTTAAGGGCGGCAGCGGGCAGAATGGCGCGGGAGGAGGAGGAGTACCCGGACGAGGGGGAGGAGCGGGTGATAAACGAGGAGTATAAGATCTGGAAGAAGAACACGCCGTTCCTCTACGACCTCGTCATCACGCACGCGCTCGAATGGCCGTCGCTCACCGTGCAATGGATGCCAGGTTTGAATTATTCCACGTATATCGCTCAGATGATTCCACGTGGTTTTCGTCTCCGCATTGATGACACGCGCGTTGACGTCCAGTTTCGTCTGGCCTCCGTTCGACCTCCGTTTTCCCTCCGGCCTCCCTTTCCGCCTTTTCTCCCCGCCACGTACACATCACTCAGCGGAGAGATGCATGCGAGAGCTGCAAGCGGAAGCATTTGGCGTGACTTGAGAGAATCTCCTTCCGCATTCTGCTGCTACCCCATTCCCCTTGCTCACTCACTGCAGAGCGGCAGGAGCCAGCGGGAAAGGATTATTCGGTGCAGCGCATGGTGCTGGGCACGCACACGTCGGACAAGGAGCACAACTACCTGATGCTGGTGGACGTGCAGCTGCCTTGCCCTGATTCACCTCTCCCCACCCCTCTCCGCCCCTCTCCGCCCCTCTCCCCGCCCCTCTCCCAATTTTACAGAGCGCCAAGAACCGGCAGGGAAGGACTATTCCGTCCAACGCATGGTCCTGGGGACGCACACGTCGGACAACGAGCAGAACTACCTCATGCTCGTGGACGTGCAGCTGCCCCTTGACGACACAGAGACGGACGCGCGGCAGTATGACGAGCAGCGCAGCGACGTTGGGGGATTTGGTGCTGGGTGCGCCAAGGTGGGGAAGAGAGGGGGATGAGGTGGGGAGGGGAGGGGTTGCGTCAAGATGGGGTGCGGTAAGAGTGGGTTGTGAGTCTGACTCAGAAGTCACGTTGAGCAGAACTACCTCATGCTGGTGGACGTGCATCTGCCTCTGGACGACACAGAGACGGACGCGCGGCAGTATGACGAGCAGCGCAGCGACGTCGGTGGGTTCGGCGCTGGGTGCGCCAAGGTGGGAAGGAAGAAAGGGGGCAAAGTGGGGAGTGGGGAGGAGTGCTCCGATTTTTGAGTCGACTAAAAAATCGACTCATCACGAGCGGAAGAAAGGGGGCAAGGTGGGGAGTGGGGAGGAGTGCTACTATGGAACATTCAGTGCCGGGTGCGCTAAGGTGGGGTCTCTTTTGTATCTTTTGCGTTTTTCTTTGCTAGCTCTTCAACCCCAACCCTCTCCCTTCCCTCCCGCCTTCTCCTCCTCCCCTCACGCTCTCACTCTCACACCACCGCAGGTGCAAGTGGTGCAACAGATTAACCATGAGGGCGAGGTGAACAGAGCGCGCTACATGCCACAGAACCCCTTCCTCATCGCCACCAAGACCGTTTCTGCTGAGGTGTGCTCCCCCTTGCTTGTTTCGAGCATCCTCAAAACGGGTACAGCCGTGTAACAACAACCTTCTTAGGGGGTGTCAAATGCCGCAGAACCCCTTCCTCATCGCCACCAAGACCGTCTCTGCCGAGGTAAGCGCTTTTAGGCTTGTGTTGAACATGTTTTAAACGGGTACATGGTATCGGCCTCTCAAGAGCGCGCTACATGCCACAAAACCCCTTTCTTATCGCCACTAAAACCGTCTCTGCCGAGGTAAGCGCTTTTAGGCTTGTGTTGAACATGTTTTAAACGGGTACAATAGTATCGGCCTCTCAAGAGCGCGCTACATGCCACAGAACCCCTTTCTCATTGCCACTAAGACCGTCTCTGCTGAGGTAAGCGCATTCTGGCTGGTTTCGAGCATCCTTAAAACGGGTACAGCGGTGTAGCATGTATCGGCCTTCCCAGGGTACGCTACATGCCACAGAACCCTTCCTCATCGCCACCAATATCGTCTCTGCTGGGCTGAGGGGTTCAAACTTCCATTTGCCTCAAAATAAAACTGCGTGAAATGAATAAGACGACACATGAGGCGCCTCAAGACCCGAGTGCGCTACATGCCACAGAACCCTTTCCTTATCGCCACTAAGACCGTCTCTGCCGACCCCTTCCCAGGGTGCGCTGCATGCCACAGAACCCTTTTCTTATCGCCACTAAGGCCGACTCTGCTGAGGTGAGATGAGACAGCTTTTGAGCCATATGCTTCCTCTCTGCCTCCCATGCGCAACCCATACCGCCCTGCCACACGTGTTTGTTTAGGGCAAATTACCCTTGTTCCACCTCCCCTGCATCTCATCCCCCTCTCCCAACCCCATCCCCCCTCCGTACAGGTATTCGTGTTCGACTACAGCCGGCACCCCTCAAAACCCCCTCAAGAGGGAACATGCAACCCGGACCTGCGCCTGAGGGGGCACAAGACGGAGGGGTATGGGCTGTCCTGGAGCCCCTTCCGCGCCACAGGTGCTCATTTTCAGCTCAGGTTTCCTCCTCCGTTACCCCTGCTCGACTCATCCACCCCCCACCCCACAGGTATTCGTGTTCGACTACAGCCGGCACCCCTCGAAACCCCCTCAAGAGGGAACATGCAACCCGGACCTGCGCCTGAGGGGGCACAAGACGGAGGGGTATGGGCTGTCCTGGAGCCCCTTCCGCGCCACAGGTGCTCATTTTCAGCTCAGGTTTCCTCCTCCGTTACCCCTGCTCGACTCATCCCCCCCCACCCCACAGGTATTCGTGTTCGACTACAGCCGGCACCCCTCAAAACCCCCTCAGGAGGGCACATGCAACCCCGACCTGCGCCTGAGGGGCCACAAGACGGAGGGGTACGGGCTGTCCTGGAGCCCCTTCCGCGCTGGTCACCTGCTGAGCGGGTCAGACGACATGCAGATCTGCGTGTGGGACATCGGGGCTGCTACTAAGGCGAATAAAGTGGTGGACGCCAAGCATGTCTTTCGGGTGGGTTGGGAGGGGTGAGGAGCGGTGGGGGTGGGTTGACGGGTGAGCCGGGCACCTGCTGAGCGGGTCAGACGACATGCAGATCTGCGTGTGGACGAGCGCAGACTTTTCCACGTCCTCTGGTCATGCCACGCGCCATACACGAGTGATGAGTCGACTCAAAAACCGACTTCCCCACGTCCTCTGGTCATGCCACGCGCCATACACGAGTGATGAGTCGACTCAAAAACCGACTTCCCCACGTCCTCTGGTCATGCCACGCGCCATACACGAGTGATGAGTCGACTCAAAAACCGACTTCCCCACGTCCTCTGGTCATGCCACGCGCCATACACGAGTGATGAGTCGACTCAAAAAACGACTTCCCCACGTCCTCTGGTCATGCCACGTGCAGACTCCATACACGACGAGGTTGCCCCCGCCTGCACCCTCAACGCCCTGTCGCTCATCTCTCCCTCCCTTCCCCTGCCCAGGCGCACACGGGGGTGGTGGAGGACGTGGCGTGGCACTGCCGGCACGAGTACCTGTTTGGGTCCGTGGGGGACGACCAGCAGCTGCTGCTCTGGGACCTGCGCTCCTCCGCTGTTGACAAACCCGCCCATGCGGTTACCGCACATCCTGCTGAGGTAAGAAGGCAACCGTTCAAACAAACGGCACACCATTTGCATTGCCTCAAAGCTCTCATTTCAATCCCATTCCCCTTCTCTTCAGTCCCATATCCTCAGTCTTTTCAGCTCTCTTCTCTCCATTTCTAACATGCGATCGCCTATCCCACCACACCAGGTGAACTGCCTGTCGTTTAACCCCTTCAACGAGTGGGTGCTGGTGACAGGCTCAGCTGACAAGACCGTGGCTCTGCATGACATCCGCAATCTCTCTAGACGCCTGCACACGTTTGTTCAACACACGTGAGTGGATACGCACAATCAAAATGCGATTGTAACACACATACGTGCACTTTACTGTGTACGATGTGCTGTGCACGCTACTGTGGAAAATATACTGTGGGATATATATTTATATGTATATATATATATACTGTGAATATTATCAGGGTATGTGCACAACACAAGGCACCCCTGCCTTCGTGCCTTATGAGGCGCCTCATTATGCATCCCCCTGTTCTGTCCCCCTGCCTTGTCCCCCTGCCCTGTCCCCGTGCCTTATCCCTCCCTGCAACCATGCACAGGGAGGAGGTGTTTCGGGTGGGGTGGAGCCCCCAAAACGAGACCATCCTTGCCTCCTGTGGGGCTGACAGGCTTTTTTTTGGTCGATTCATAACACACCATAACACACCTGCTGTTCCCTTATCGTCCCCCTTTCCCCCCCTTCCTTTCTCCCTACCGAGTGCAGGGAGGAGGTGTTTCAGGTGGGCTGGAGCCCCCAGAACGAGACCATCCTGGCCTCCTGTGGGGCCGACAGGCGACTCATGGTCTGGGACCTCAGCAGGTACTACACTCTCCACGTTTTCCCCACTCGCTTGGACTTTTAATCATATTTTCATAAATAAACTTCTGACACCCCCCTTCCCCCAACACCTGTGTCCGTTCACGCCCGCCCACCCCTGCCCCGCCTTACCTCCCTATCAGGATCGGCGAGCAGCAGGCGCCAGAAGATGCCGAGGATGGGCCGCCCGAGCTACTTTTCATCCACGGGGGGCACACGAGCAAAATATCTGACTTTTCATGGAACAGCAATGATGACTGGGTGATTGCCAGCGTGGCAGAGGATAATATCCTGCAGATATGGCAGATGGCGGAAAATATCTACCTGGATGACGAGGAGGAGGAAGGGGGGGAGGGGGACGGGGGAAGAGATGCAGGAGGGAGAAGAAGGATGACTGAATGAGTGTGGTTTGAGTCGTTCAACAGAATCAAATCTGGCAGATGGCGGAAAATATCTACTTGGATGACGAGGAGGAAGGGGCGGAGGACACAGGGAGAGATGCAGGGGGGAGGAGACGGATGACGGATTGAGCGAGTTTTGAGAAAGCGCCAATGATTCTGCGTACAAATCGCAGGGGTGGAGAAGGGTGTAATTGTAAATTCAGCTCTGTGGAGAAGCAGCCGGGTGGACGGATGACAGATGGTACAGGTGCTGTCTTACTACCCACCTAGTTCTCAAATACGAGCAGCAGCACCATTAGAAGCAATCAAATTAGTAGAAGCCAGAATGTGTTGGGTAGGGATAAGATTGATGTTTGACCTTTAACCATGTACTAACTCACATTTCCCAGCAAGTAGAACTGATCTAGGACAATGCACAAGGCTTGCGGTGTATCCATATTCTTATAGAAGTGACAAATGTCCCGGATGATAATACCCGGCCGGTATACGGGGATGAGCGTCTGTCAGATGTAGCGGTGTTTCCCGCGCAAACAAACGCAACCGTGATACTCCCGCGCTTCGGAGATGCTGTTACTTTTCCTGCGAAACTTTTCGGAACTTTAGCGAATCAATCATCCCGCAAGCGAAAGGCAATTATCCCGGTTTCACGAAACTGAGGCCGTGCGCCGATGGTGCGGCGGCCTGCACCAGGGCTGGGAAAGGGAAGTGATTGCCTTGCCCTCGAACATCCTCTGCTTCAGTACATTCCCCCTTGGTCTCACCTCTCTTGATTTTTGTGGATCCCTGTCAACCGCTCTGAAACCCTCTGGATTCCTTGAAATGCTTCACTGAGCCCCTCTTTTCACTCCCTGAATCCCAGTACAGTATGGAGCATCTCTGAAAGCCATTCTTACCTTGATCACCAGACTCCTAAACATAAGACTCGTCCGGTTTCTTGGAATCCATGGCCGTCGTTTGACGTTCCATCACCAACCATCGACAAGGTCTAAATTTTAATCTTCCTATTAGCTTAATTTCATTTGATCTTGTGTTCGAGTTTCATGGTCTAGCATGATTGAGGAATACTCATGGCTCAACTCGTTTCGTCAGCTATCCATCATGGCGGTCGTTTAGACCGTTAAATACCTCTCAAGCACAGTCTTAGTCGTATCTGTAGTGACCGTTAAATACAAGCTTCTACGCTATTTTATGCAATCAGAGTAGCTCGATCATAGAACCAGTAGCATCTCTCTTTATTCATTACTAATTAGGTCGTTGAAGCGCCATTATGATCCTCTAGCACATCGAGAGATTTCTTCTTAAGGCTGTCAGATACGGTTTCGTGACGTAATTTCGGTTCTTTGTAATTTATCTCAACTCTTTTTCAGCCCGTCTTGAAGCATAGTTCACTTGGCGACAGTCACAGCTGTTTCAGGCAGCAACGATGACGCCATTCTGAAATTGTACAGACCGACAAGGACCGAGGCACAGACCGAGACGGAGACGGAGACGGAGACAGGGATTCTTGAAATCGTTAACGGTGTCTTTGGACGGGAACGACGTAGACGGCGAGTTCCGACGACAACGATAGAGATGAGAAGTGCTGACGGCGACGTCCGAAACATTAATTCCCTACGGACGATGGTGACGGCGACAGTCGAGACATTCCTGACGGTCTCTAACGGTGACGATTGACGTCTTCTGATGGTGACGAGTATATCTGACGGTGAATCGGCGTCGTCTGATGATTATAACTGATGGTCGAGACGGCAAGATTTTTCGCTGCTGTTCAAGAATAAGACGGAGATTCCTGACGACGTGACAACAATAGAGAAGAGAAGTGCTGACGGCGACATCCGAGACATTAATTCCCTACGGACGATGGTGACGGTGACAGTCGAGACGGTCTCTAACGGTGACGATTGACGTCTTCTGATGGTGACGAGTACGGAGATTCCTGACGACGTTCATCCCGTTGAGGAGTTCTTACGGCTGATTGGCGTCTTCTGCGAGAGGGGGTACAAAGCATGGATTTCCGACGGTGTCAGGGAGGTTTCACGTTGACGACGGAGGCTGAATGTGAATCTGATGGATTTCACTCGGAATGGTGACCAGGGCGATCCTGATGCGGAGTTCTGACGGCAACGATAATAGTATTCGTCTTCAGATATTTCCGGACGGTGATGATTGAACATCGTCTCGGAAACCCCGCGTTGCCGACTGGTTGACGACCGATACGCGAAATCCCGTCCCTGAATGCGATGGCGAGTCGATGATTGGGATGGGGTATTCACATGTTGAGATCGCGAGAACCAGTTCTTGCGGCGACGTCGATTGACGAGTCGTGCTGACAGGGGTTTCTGACGGTGACGAGGCGACGAAGGAGACGGCGACTAAATAAGGATACGGCGACTAAGGATCAAGACGGCGACGACGGATCAAGACGGCGAGTAAGGATCAAAACGGCGACTGAGACGGCGAGTTCTGACGTCGACGATCAGGGCGGAATCGTGGAAGGCTGATGACTGCGACGTGTCGGTGATGCTGACGATCGCCGTCGTATTGAAGTGACAGTGACGAACGCGACGGAAGGTTTCCGTCGGTGGCGAGTTCAGACGGGGACGGCTGCCGCTGACGACGGCGCTTGCTGACGGGAAGGCGAAGGCGGAGGCGATTGGTGGAGCTGCGGTGTGGATGGAGCGGCGACCATCGCCGACAGCGCTGACATTGGTGATGAAGGCGAAGGCGATCGCAAAGGCGATCGAGGAAGGCGGAGGCGAAGGCGAATGCGAAGGCGAAGGCGGTGGCGAAGGCGAATGCGAAGGCGAAGGAGAAAGGCGAATGCGATGGATCCTGTCGTTCAACCACCCCACAGCTAAGTCCCCTTCATTGAAGCCCTACTCGATCCCTTGCCATCCGTATCGCTTTGTGTCTTGTGTTCAATGTCTTGTCGCTTTGCTTTCTCCGTGCATGCTCGTAACCAAAACGTCAATTCAGCGTGGCGATGGCAGCGCATGGCACTGGGGCGGCTTGAGCTCATACTAGAGTCGTAGGGGGGTAGAATAGAATGCATTCATACCCATGCTGCGTCCCTTCCTTACCTTGCCTGCTAGCTCGCTGCCCTAGTGCTGTGTGCTACCATCGCCTCCCCTTTCACAGCGTCACAGTGCCACGTGCTTTTTATCTTCAACTTTCGTTTCCTCTACTCATCATGTCATTATCTCTGCCTCCTTGCATGCATTTCACTACTTTCATGCTTCTACTGACTACTTGGGTTCCTTTCCCCTGCTCTGTTTTCTTGCTCTCCTTCCCATCTCGTCTGGTGCTATGGCAGCGTGGTGCGGGGAGGGAGGGCGGTGGGATGACGCACGGCAGGCAGTCACAGCGGTGTGCGAGCCTCCTGGAAGCCTGACGCCACTGTCCTGCAAGCACCCCCATACGGCTAAGTTCCCTCTCCTTTCCCCCTTGCCATCCTTACCGCTTCTGCTTCGTGTTTATCATTGCCCACTTTTGTACCGCATTCTTCCGTCACCGCGTGCTCGAAACAAATGAGCCCATTTTCGAATGGGAGCGATCAAAAGTTGAGTGAGAGATGAGCGGCGTTTGGCGATGGTAGCGCATGGCACTGGGGCGGCTTGAGCTCATACTAGAGTCGTAGGGGGGTAGAATAGAATGCATTCATACCCATGCTGCGTCCCTTCCTTATTTGCCTGCTAGCTCGGCGCCCTAGTGCTGTGTGCTACCATCGCCTCCCCTTTCACAGCGTCACAGTGCCACGTGCTTTTTATCTTCAACTTTCGTTTCCTCTACTCATCGTTCTTGTTATCTCTGCCTCCTTGCATGCATTTCACTACTTTCATGCTTCTACTGACTACTTGGGTTCCTTTCCCCTGCTCTGTTTTCTTGCTCTCCTTCCCATCTCGTCTGGTGCTATGGCAGCGTGGTGCGGGGAGGGAGGGCGGTGGGATGACGCACGGCAGGCAGTCACAGCGGTGTGCGAGCCTCCTGGAAGCCTGACGCCACTGTCCTGCAAGCACCCCCATACGGCTAAGTTCCCTCTCCCTTCGCCCTTGCCATCCTTACCGCTTCTGCTTCGTGTTTATCATTGCCCACTTTTGTACCGCATTCTTCCGTCACCGCGTGTTCAAAACAAATGAGCCCCTTTTCGAATGGGAGCGATCAAAAGTTGAGTGAGAGATGAGCGGCGTTTGGCGATGGTAGCGCATGGCACTGGGGCGGCTTGAGCTCATACTAGAGTCGTAGGGGGGTAGAATAGAATGCATTCATACCCATGCTGCGTCCCGTCCTTATTTGCCTGCTAGCTCGGCGCCCTAGTGCTGTGTGCTACCATCACCTCCCCTTTCACAGAGTCACATTGCCACATGCTTTTCGTCTTCAACTTTCGTTTCCTCTACTCATCGTTCTTGTTATCTCTGCCTCCTTGCATGTGTTTCACTACTTTCATGCTTCTACTGACTACTTGGGTTCCTTTCCCCTGCTCTGTTTTCTTGCTCTCCTTCCCATCTCGTCTGGTGCTATGGCAGCGTGGTGCGGGGAGGGAGGGCGGTGGGATGACGCACGGCAGGCAGTCACAGCGGTGTGCGAGCCTCCTGGAAGCCTGACGCCACTGTCCTGCAAGCACCCCCATAAGGCTAACTTCCCTCTCCCTTCGCCCTTGCCATCCTTACCGCTTCTGCTTCGTGTTTATCATTGCCCACTTTTGTACCGCATTCTTCCGTCACCGCGTGCTCGAAACAAATGAGCCCATTTTCGAATGGGAGCGATCAAAAGTTGAGTGAGAGATGAGCGGCGTTTGGCGATGGTAGCGCATGGCACTGGGGCGGCTTGAGCTCATACTAGAGTCGTAGGGGGGTAGAATAGAATGCATTCATACCCATGCTGCGTCCCTTCCTTATTTGCCTGCTAGCTCGGCGCCCTAGTGCTGTGTGCTACCATCGCCTCCCCTTTCACAGCGTCACAGTGCCACGTGCTTTTTATCTTCAACTTTCGTTTCCTCTACTCATCGTTCTTGTTATCTCTGCCTCCTTGCATGCATTTCACTACTTTCATGCTTCTACTGACTACTTGGGTTCCTTTCCCCTGCTCTGTTTTCTTGCTCTCCTTCCCATCTCGTCTGGTGCTATGGCAGCGTGGTGCGGGGAGGGAGGGCGGTGGGATGACGCACGGCAGGCAGTCACAGCGGTGTGCGAGCCTCCTGGAAGCCTGACGCCACTGTCCTGCAAGCACCCCCATACGGCTAAGTTCCCTCTCCCTTCGCCCTTGCCATCCTTACCGCTTCTGCTTCGTGTTTATCATTGCC